TTAGCACTCAGTGTAGCCTGAATATGCCTCAATGATATACAGTGGCAAAAAACAAGTTGCTATGTAGATTGTAACTTAAATAACTATAACTTAAAATAAATAATAGCATCACAAATAGAAAAGGTATAGTGGAACACAGTACTTAAACATTACAGGCACTCACAACAGAAACTCTAGGCTGTTACACCTGATGTCTAATTAGCTGCACTGAAAAAACAAATTAATAAAAAATCTAAAGGTAGAAAATGAAACAGTGCCAGCTCTGTTTCCCTTTTCACATAAAACCTTTGGGTTGAACTGTATGTTTATAATAATAATAATAATAATAAAGTTTATTTATATAGCACTTTTCGCAGACAAGGGTCACAAAGTGCTTTACATCAACAAAAAACACAAAAACAGCATACATACAATGAAAGAAGAAAATAAAAAATGAGTACGTCATGGACAACATTATAAAATCCTGCTATAACCAGGAACAATAAAACATAGGTAGGTACACTGGGTGGACCTGATTACCCATAGGCCTGTCTAAACATTAACGTATTTAATTGACTCAACAGAGACAGAAAGACGTAGTGAGATGGGTAGAGAATTCCAGAGGATTGGTGGTATGGACTGAAACGCACAATCCCCACTAGTCTTAAAATGTGTCTGCGGGACAGACAGCAGGTGTAGGCGTTTGACCTTAGTGAACGGGTGGGTGAATACAGGTGAATGAGTTCTGACAGATAATCTGGGGCCTGACCGTGAATGTCTCTGAAGGTGAGAATGAGAATTTTAAACTTAATCCTATATGCCACAGGGAGTGCAGTGTTTTCAGTATCGGAGTGATGTGAGACCGTTTGTTTGACCTGGTGAGTAATGGAGCAGCAGCATTATGGATTGACTGGAGACGGTTTAGGGCGGAAGTGCTAAGTGAGGTGAAAAGAGCATTACAATAATCGATACGAGATGAGACAAAGGCGTGCAAAATCATCTGAAGTTCTGTGAAAGACACTAATGTTCTCAGCTTACTGATATTTCTTAAATGAAAAAAGCATGATTTGGTTAGCTGTTTAACATGGCTGTCTAGTGATAAAGAAGAATTTAAAATTACTCCCAGATTACGGAGGTTGGAGCGAACAGCAGAGGAGAGGGGCCCAATGTTTTGCATGATTGTTGAAACATACTTGTCTTGGGCAATAACTAGGACTTCTGTTTTTTCTGCATTTAGTTGTAGGAAATTATCGGTTGCCCAGTCGTTGATAGTATTTATACAGTCTAGGAGCTAACGTAGAGGCTTCGCTAGGTTTAAATGAAAATTGCAGTTGTATATCATCTGCATATAGATGATATGCAATATTAAAACTTTGTATAATCATTGCTAGGGGAAGTAGATAGAGAGAGAACAACAGAAGTCCCAGGACTGAGCCTTGCGGGATTCCACATGATAAAGGAGAGGAGTCAGACATAAACTCTCCAACAGAGACAGTGAAGGTCCTTTCACTTGGATACGAAGAGAACCAGTCCAGGGCTGTACCTGATATTCCCACCCAGTCATGTAGTGTCTTTATGAGGTTAGGGTGGTCAACCGTATCAAAGGCGAAGCTGAGATCAAGAAGAACCAACACTGAACAATCACCTCCATCAGCAGACATTAAAATATCATTGGAGACTCTTAATAATAATAAATACTTTATTGATCCCGCGAGGGGAAATTTGTTTTTACACTCTGTCTAGTTAACATGCTACACAAACACAGGCCGAAATACACACACGCACAAACAGGACCCTATGGACATGCACTAATGGAGAGGTCTCAGAGTGAGGGGGCTGCCCGCAGTGGGCGCTCCTGAGCTGGTGGGGGGGGTTAGGTGCCTTGCTCAAGGGCACCTCAGCAGCGCTCAGGAAGTGGACTGGCATCTCTCCAGCTACCAGGCCAATTTCCGGACTTGGTCCGTGCTGGGACTTGAACCAGCGACCCTCTGATTCCCAACCCAAGTCCCTACAGACTCCGCTAAAGCTGGGGAACAATGGACTGTATGGGGGGGGGGAGAAGGGGGGAAGGAGGAAAAGGAGGAAAAGGAGAGGAAAAAGAGGAAAAAAGAGAAAAAAGAGAAAAAAGAGAAAGAAAGAAGAACTCTTAATGGCCCTTCTGCAAGTCAAAAGTTACTCCAAGTCATTAGTTTTCATAAAATTTTAGAAATTACTCAAAATGATGAATATTTCTAGTTTTCATAAGGGGCATAATAGGGGAAGATTGGATCCGAAGGACGGGGGTTCGAACCCTGCCTGGACCAAAACAAACTTCACAAAGTGTTTTGGATTGTTCAGATGAAAAAGTAATTTTAAATAAGAAAACAATACTTGATTCTGTTTAGCATTCAAAATGTGTAGGAAAGTGATATTGTGTTTGTTTTTCATTTCTTCTCAGAAGTTAAGTGGTATTGACATAAGTCATCTAATTGTTTTCGATATAAGACTTTACTTACTAAAAAATAGCAAATATTATTGTAATATAATTTTTATATTACTGTGTCAAATTGCTAAGAAATAAGTCAAATGTAAGAATTGGAGTAGAAGCACACACATTTATTGAAATATTTCAATTAAAAAATCTAAAAACATTTAAATAAAAGGCACATTTCACATTTTAGGACATTTCCTTTAAACAAAATAATGATATATTTGGTGTTTTAGCCTCTAGCCTCAAACAGACTAATGCTGTAGATTGAATCTGAATCTCTGAACTTGAGATTTTACACCTGCAGCAGACTCTGTGAGTCATGACTGTCTACAATGAGTGGGACACTCGAGTCCAGCTGTGGTTGATTTTCCAAGCAGTATCTACAGCGTGTTTACATGGACGGGACGGTACACACTCCTTATTTGAATGCCATGTAAGCATTTTAAAAAACTAAAATGTGAAGAGACAGACAGGACGGGGCAGACAGAAGGGGAGAACAATGAATCATCATTTATTCTCGGCACTTTTCCTCCTCATTTCTTCCAGCCACTGCTCCAGTGGCATCCCTGCGAAAGTGGGGCAATAAATGTATCCATGAAATTGCCTGTGGCCACTGTCTTTGTTCCGGGGCTGATGGCATTTGCGGCACTTATTATGTTCCACCTGACGATTGTAGGGCCTCTGGGAAGGGGGTGGAGGGGGAAGAGGTCCAGCAGGGGCGATAGGCCTGGGAGAGGGGACAGCCAACATTAACAACAAGGGGCTTTGGGCAGGGGTAGGGTTTACAAGGGCAGGAGCAGCTGTAGGCAGAGGTGCAGGCAGGGAAAATAACTGCCTCTGAATGGGCACCTTTGGCTGGACAGTGGCTGGAGCAGCAGTGTGTGGCGCAGCATACTTTCTTTTTAAAAGTGCCTGTCCTGCAGTGGATTTGGGCAGACTGTAGACATGCTGAGGTCCACACTGCTGAGGGACAAAGGTGGGGCGCCCTAGAGCTGGTGGCAGAGGCACAGGGGCTACAGGAAGAGGGGCAGGCAGGTTGACCCCCAGCAGAAGGACTGCCAAATCCTGCCTCTTCACTCTCTGATTGTGCCACTGTGTGAGGGTGGTCTGGTTGACCTCATACAGCTGGAGAGTGGTGGCCTTCATTAGAGCTCCATTGTCCCTCACCAGCTGCCTAACCTTCCGATAGTCCTTCAGCAATGAGAGACCATCTTGTCAGGCTGCCCTTTCCCTTTTTCTTTGGGCTCTTGTGCAGCTGACAGAGCCTGACAAAGATGGCCTCCACAAGCCGACAACAGTCGGGCCACTGTGCAGGTGATCCACTTGACCCCAGGACGCAGCGCCTCATGCTCTCCGCACCGGGGGTGAATTCCAATTTATTTTTTGGTGACCTGAAGTACCCCGTCTTCAGCCCCGTTGGAGCTGGGTAGCCAGAGGTCATGCTGGTGGTGGGAGCTGGGTAGCCAGAGGTCATGCTGGTGGTGGGAGCTGGGTAGCCAGAGGTCATGCTGGTGGTGGGAGCTGGGTAGCCAGAGGTCATGCTGGTGGTGGGAGCTGGGTGGCCAGAGGGCATGCTGGTGGTTGGAGCAGGGGGGGCAGAGGTAATGCTGGTGGTGGGAGCTATGGGGCCAGAAGGCAAGCTGGTGGTGGGAGCTGTGGGGCCAGACTGGCTGAGGGTTTTACCCAGAATAATGTCAAATGTGGGGTCATGTCCGCCATCATCAAAACCCTCATCCTCTGGCTCCTCAACAGCCACATCCTCCAACAGTTGCTCCGTCTCCTCTGTTTCAGGGTCAACATTCTGCATTGCCCTTCCTGTCTGGCGGTACAGGTAGTCAATACCTATCAGCTCTCCTGGGAACGAAAAGAGAATACTCATTGCTCATTTCTGAAAATGTGTTTTTTGGCTTAACCATGGTTGAATTAAACAGAACCATACAACACAACAGAGCTTCTGAGTTTTTAAAAAAGCAGGTTAGCTTCTTCAAAAGACAAAACCGTTGCAGGGCCTTTTTAAATATGTACTCTGAGTTAGCTGTTAAACTTTATTATAAAACTCACTCAGTAATGATAATGATATCTAAAAGGTATGAAATAAAACCATTAATTATGATGGGAAAGTGACACACACCAGTATACACTGCAGGGGGTTGGAAGGAGGGGGCAAGTTTCCTTCCAAGCACCTTGACACTGAAGGTGTTGACACAGTGCACAAGGTCCCCTGAGTAGGTGAGGAGTGAGGGAGGTTTGACAGCCAGTGCCACAGCACCACGGTCCTGGTTCCACCTGTTCAGGCCTTCCAGGAGGTACAGCTGAAAATTCAAACTGTTGGCACTGGTTCCTTAAAATAAAAACAACATATATTTTAAATTCATACAATGAGCTATTTGTACAATGTCAGGTGACACATGTTCTATGCTAAATACTTTATGTCAAAGAGCTAGGTTATACTTAATTGAAACTGACCTGGAATGAACCTGGCCAGGTGGCAGTGGAAGGACTCCAGTGATGTTTAGCCCCTGGCACACCTGTAGGTGGTGAGGATGATGCCCTACTTGGTGGATGATCCTGTCTCTGTGTAGAGAGGAACACCTGGCTCATCCTGGATGCATTTTACATGCTTCCTCTGCTGTTCCCAGATGTTCGCCATCCTATCCCTGTCCAGGAGTGGCACACCAAGGAAGTCACTGCCCTTCTCCCCCATAAGCTCTTGCAAAAGGAGGTAAATCATTGAGATGGTCTCCTTCTCTCCTCTTGTCCTCCTTCTGCAGTAGAGCACCAACTCACTCTTTCTAATGTTCTGGTTCACAAGGCCATCAGTGATGCCAGGAACCCCCTCCCGTTTCAGCTGCTCCCTCTTGACCCGGCGCAGCAAGGCAACGTCACCTGCATCCCACTCAAATATGCAGCAGGACAGACGGGCCATGAAGATGGGGTAAAGGGGATGGGCATCCTTGGTGCATCCTGATGCCAGCCGCCGCATGAAATGATAAATGTCCAGCTTGACCACAACGTCTGGCCAGCCACCAAATCGTGCCTTTAGCTTGGTCTCCTCCCCATCCTTCTTGCAGCATCCACAGTCCACATACAGGAGCTTTGGAGGAGCCACACCTGCTTCCCTGTACCTCCGGATGAGATCAGCCACCATCAGGTCCAGCCCAGAGCCTTCCTGAGCAGTCAGGACACGGATCAAGATCTGACCCACCTCGTTACTAACTGAGGAAAGCCAGAGGGCAGTCCCCTTGGCAATGCCCGATAACTTCCTGGTGATCTGAAAGTATACAGAGGAAACATTCAGTGACTTAGGTCTAACTAGCATATCATTTTGTCTGGTATTGACTTATGTATTTACATTTTGTAAGTATACCATTCTTTTTCAGTACAGTTTAACAGCCTTTTACAGGTAAAATCATTTTAACATTGCGACTTGGGGATGAAGAATATCCCTTTTTAGTCATTTTGTCAGTTTGAGTGATGCTTTGATACACGTTTTTGTAGAATTGTGACATGAGAATAAGAGCAGTGATGAGGAATTGTATCTTCTTTGTGGAGTCCATCTTCAGGATGGAGCCAAAGGTAGATGTAATGCTGGCTTTGATGTGCTCCAGCCTGCTTAAGATGTCCCGCCCGTAGACCGCCAGCATCCACTTATAGGTGGGAATGGCCACAGGCTCAGGCGGGTCCTGAAACACCACAGGGAACAGGCTGGGCCGGCCCACAAAGTCAGAGCATGCCCCGAGGTACTGGCAGAGGCGCTGCAGCCACTCCTCGCTGTGGTTCTCCCTCAGCTGCTTCACCAAGCGAGACGGGCTGTTGCCCAGGGTCCTCTCCCGCAGGAAGCGGATGACCCGAATGTCACAAGCATATCTGTATTAAAAGAAAGGGAAGAGACAGAGACATTTAGACAAACACAAAAAGACAGTCCAACCTCTTATATCAGTCTGTTTCAATTACAGACAATTTTCAAATAAACAATGTAACACAATAATATGTATTCTCATTAACATTTTTTTGTACATGCTTGTTACAGTGGTGTCTTTATATTCACTTCTGAGTCAGGATGAGCCTGAATTCGAGCCGGTGAGCCAGGTCAAGCTGGTCCAGGATGGTCTTGCTGCTGGACAGGTAGTTGGTTTTGCAACCAATGCTGTTGCACCTGAGGGTCTCTGTGACCATCAGGTAGTACCTGTCCACGTCAAGGACCTGACAGGCTCTCTTGTGGGCACCGTATCCCACCAGCTGCTTCCCACACACAGGACAGGTTAGCCTGACCTTCCACAAGTGGTACGGCATCCACACAAGCAGGCGATGATTAAAAAAGCGCTCTGGAGTGGGGGCCTGATGGTAGATGAGCGCTGGCCCGGGTGGATCGTACCACAGCTTGAGGTCGGTTCGTAGCCGCTGGTTTCTCCACAGAGCTGCAGAGATCCATCTCTGGTCCTGGAGGGGGATGGTCTTCCTCATCTTCACTGGCAGCCAGGGTAGGTCAGGGCCAGGGGCAGCCAACACATCCTCCGCTGACATATTGCTGAGAGGATCAGGACCAGGAGTGGTAGAGGAGGCACAGACAGGAGGGTCTGAGGAGGCACTGGAGGGAGCAGCTGTTACAACCTAATAATAAACAAATTATGTACAGAAAGACACACACAAGTAAAACATTAACACATCATAAATCACTGAACTGCTTAGGTTAGGGTTTGATGTTTGGCAACAACAACAAAAAATTATCAATAGGATTCTTACAGCGGCAGTGGCTGGGGGGATTATTGAGGCTGATGACACAGGAGAGGGGGGAAGAGAGAAAGGGGAGCTGGTCCTAATATATTTTCTGGGACTCTGGGCAGGGGATGATGTCCTCCCTGATGTTGGTGTTGCAGTGCCAAAGTTTGTGGTGGTACTGGTCGATGTGCTAATAAGGGGCTGAGAGAGAAACAGGAGGAAATACAAGGTTATAAACTAAATTGTGTATCATTATTGGGCATATAAGATTAAAACTTGAAGTATAGCTTCATGCAATGATAAGGCATTTAAGCACATGAACACACCATTGATCACTGAACTGCTTAGGTTAAGTTTGGCACACAAAAATTATTTGTGAACAACACAATTGAAAAGGGTTCTTACAGCTTTAGCAGTGGCTGGGGGGATTATTGAGGCTGATGAAAGAGGAGAGGGGGGAAGAGAGAAAGGGGAGCTGGTCCTAATATGTTTTCTGGGACTCTGGGCAGGGGATGATGTCCTCCCTGATGTTGGTGTTGCAGTGTCGACGTTTGTGGTGGCACTGGGGGACGTACTAATAAGGGGCTGAGAGAGAAACAGGAGGAAATACAGGCTAATGAATATCTACAAAATCATGTATCACTACTAGGCATAATAAATCATTGTGTCATAATAAGACATGATAAAGCATTTAACCAAGGAGAAATTATGTCACAAGCAATACTATAAATCAAATGTATGCCTAGACTGTCACCATACAGTACCTTTGCAGGCTTCCTAGCCACAGTTAAATTTGGCTTCAAAGCAGCACCATGCGACCCGCGACCTTGCTAAGAAAATGAACAGGATGCATGATCATGTTATTTATTCTGTAAAACATAGAAGTCAGTAGTTAAGAGTCATTGGGTAAAAATCACAAACAGAATAAAGATTTACCATAGCTAGATTCAAAGCAGGCCTCTGCACAGGTCCAGCAGATGTTGATGCTGAGGAGGCAGCAGCAGCAGCGCTTGAAGGGCCTTGCCCTTGACCAGTGCCAACAGTGGTACGGGGAAATGGGGTGTCAGGGACTGAGCTGGAAGGCTAAAGATTTACAGAGACTTTTGAAGTCATTTCAAGCAAACGACACAACAACAAAAATGTGCACACAACAATTTGATGTTAGTTTAAAAATACCTTCTTAGTGTGGAAACCACTGCCACATGTCTGTGGCCCCCCAAACAGAGATGCCTGTCCCCTCCGTTGCATCGGGCATTTGTCAATCTGTAATATTTCATGACAAAAAATAAGCAAGTGTTTCTATTAGCTTTATCATGTGTGACTGTATTGTAATTGCTTAATACAACTATACCTTCAGATAGAGGTCATTCCACTTCTTCTGGCGGGGAGCAGGCCTGTTTCCTGCATCAGAGGGCCAAACCCCTGAAGCAGCGAATCTCCGCAGGCGTGACATCCACTCCTCATCACCCATAGCCTTGTGCTTTTTTTGTTTTGTTGCCATCTGTGGCCAAAAGAGGTCAAAATTAATATCCCATCAACTCCCTTCATATGTACACATAGGCTAATGCTGTGACCATAAGATGATGTAATATAAGACAGGACTTTATAAATCTCTGTGGGATAATACCATTGTTAGACCAGCATAACTAGAACAAAAACTGGATAAAGTATGGCAAAAGTAAAATACAGAACTGAATAAATTCAACGAGGGGGGGGGGCAGTTTCCCGCTCAGTTTTTCCGTTATTCAGTCGTGGCTATTATGAAATCTATTGATAAACAGCCTACCACAACTAAACTCTGCATTATGTTTTACTAATACATCTGCTTTTCGCATTAAGCTCGATGCAGGAGCCTGAAACCAATCGCTCCCACCTAAAGATAGCTATGGATGATGACGATGTTAACACGGCAAAATAAGATAAAAACATAACTTACACGTCTCTAACTCTAGCAGCAACAATCATTTTAGTGAATGAAGATATCCTCTGTGTTAACCAAGGTGACTGGCCGGCTTCTTACCGTCAAGTTATTCAACACCGTCAAGTTCACGTTAAACTTGGATAACAAAGTTTCTTTAACTAGCTAGCGTTTACCCTGTATACATTCAGTCAGTCAAACTAACCACAATGAACAATCTAACTACGGGAAAATAATATATTATGAGTGACAATAATTTAATTGATGACAGTTTACCTTGAGAGATGAAGTCGAGTCCCGTTCAATGGATTCTCCGCTACCGGCGAAAATGTATGGGCGGGATATCGAGGCGAGCGCTCATTTCCGATTGGCTCGCACGTGCAGCGCAAGCTTGCAGGGCTGCGATTGGCTCGGAGTCAAAAGATGCAATGCCAGCCACGCGATTGGCTAACATTTTTGAGGAAAGATGAGAACGGGGCGACGCGATTGGCTTACAATGATGAGGAAAGATGAAAACGGGACAGAGCGATTGAAAGCTGAGATACAGTCGTACTGCCGTCGCTCACCGCTACTGCCGCCCCAAATAGAGTGGTTTCAGTGGAGTACCCTTTCCGGAACCCTGACTGGAATTTGTCATAGATGTTATGTTCCTCCAACACAGCAGTGAGTTGATTGGCCACAACTTTTTCCAATATTTTGGCAACTTTGAAATTGGCCTATAGTTCATAGTCTAAATTTGGTTTCTTTAAGATGGGCTGAATCATTGCATGTTTAAAATAAGTAGGGAAACATCCTGTAAGCAATGAGGAATTTACAATGGATAAAACAGCTGGACCAGTAGTAGGTAAAAGTTTTAAAAACAGTGAAGGTGGTAAGACATCCAAGGAGCTATTAGTCAGCTTTGTTTTTATTGTCAAATCCGTAAGATCCTCAAAGCTAACAAGGTGGAAGGAGTCCAAGACAGTAGGGGTAGCAGAGGAGCTGTCTCTAGGTGGGTGAGAGTTCGGCTGCATATTGGACCTTATAGCTAATACCTTATCAACAAAGAAGGAGAGGCACTTATTGCAGTCATTAGTTGAGCAGCATGGTAAGGTGGATGGAGATGGTGAAACAATATTGTTGATTGTGTCAAATAAAACTTTTGGATTCCTTCTAGAGGAAGAGATTCAAGTGCCAAAGTACCGTATTTTCCGCACTATAAGGCGCACCGGATTATAAGGCGCACCTTCAATGAATGGCCTATTTTAGAACTGTTTTCATATATAGGGCGCACCGGATTATAAGGCGCATAGAATAGAACGTGTTTACAACTGAACAAGGCTGGGAGATATTGTGAATATATAAATATAAATACTTATAGTGCATTCACAATAACTCAACGTTGTTCAAACGTTAATGTGCATATTCACAATATCTCCCAGCCTTGTTCAGTTCTAAACATGTAAAAGAAACACAGTCTGATACCGCTAATTCAAACGTTAGTGCATAACTCAACATTGTTCAGTTACGTATAACACGTAAAGCTCACTTTTTCAGTTCATTCCCCGTCCACGAATCCCTCGAATTCTTCTTCTTCAGTGTCTGAATTGAACAGTTGGGCGAGTACGGCATCCAACATGCCCGGCTCCCTCTCATCATTATCCGAGTCAGTGTCGCTGAGCGCCGTGTACAACCAGTATGGATCAACCAATTAACCAATTGATCCATATATAAGCCGCTCCGGATTATAAGGCGCACTATCGTTTTTTGAGAAAATTAAATGCTTTTAAGTGCGCCTTATAGTGCGGAAAATACGGTAAGCAGTTCTGGCTTCCTGTACTGCTTCATTAAAAGAATGCCGCAAATGTTTGTGATAAAGGCAATGTACCTCTAGTCCAGTGGATTTCCATAGTCGTTCAGACTTGCAACATTGCTGTCTCAGGCAGCGGACAGCATTGGTCATCCATGGGGATGGCCTTAGTCCTTGTCTTTAAAGGTGTGTCCAGTAAAGTGGCACAATGAAGATTAAAAGATTGTAATAAAAGGTCAGTCTTGTTTAGGTGTGAATGACAATCCCAATCATATTGTGCTAAGAACTGATCGGCTGTATCTGTTGTAATGATGCGGGAGTGAAGTGTTCTTACAAAACTGGGAGGATCAATGGTTACACAAAGATCAAAGAAAATACTTCTATGGTCACTGATCAGTAGGTCTTCACATCGGACATGGTTGACATCTATCCCTAGAGAAAAACCAGGTCCAAGGTGTGGCCTTTTGTGTGCGTGGGGCCTACAACATGTTGCTTGAGGTTAAAAGAGTCTGTGATATTGAGAAATTCAGTGGATGCAGAATTGGAAACATCATCAATATGCAGGTTAAAATCCCAGCTAAAAGTATTCTGTCCAGTTTAATACAAGATGTTAAAAAGTCAGTGAACTCAGTTTAAAACTGTCCTGCTTGACCAGGAGGTCAGTAAATTAAAATACATTAAAAGGGATTGATACTTCCAATTTTGGTAAGTTGTAGTTCAAAGGTGTTGAAATGATCTTAGCTCACCAGTTGACATGAGAATGTGTTTTTCCAAACAACAGCGAGACGTCCCCCACGGCCAGACAAACGTGGGGTCCCAATAACGGTACAGTCACTGGGGCATAGTTCATTTAAATGAACATATTCCATATCCCTCTGCCATGTCTCAGTTAGGAGTAGAAAAGACAAATTTTCTCTTGAAAATAGGTCATTTAAAATATGTGACTTATTTGCTACTGAGCACTGATCAAACACATTTTAATAGAGTCTGTGTTAGGAGCTTTAAAAGCTTTGGGGGAGCGAGAAATTAGTCGGATCACTTGCCCATGATGGTGATCCTGACAATCACGAAGGCGTGAGTGGTGGTAAGTGATTCTGACTGGTATGGCCATGGTAGGAGTAGCAGCCCCACCTAACCTCAAAAGGGAGCTATTGGGGTCTGCATGAGGGAGAGAGCGTAAGTTAGTCTGGTGAGTGGATGCTTGTCTGGGGGAGGTACCTGGAGAGCTGGATAGTGACGGCTGAGGTCGGAGGGAGGAGTGAAAAAAGTGATGAATCATTGAGGGCGTGGAAAAAGGTGCAGCAGGTGGTGAGGGGGTGTGTTTAACACTAGAATAAAATGAAGAACTAGTAAAAACACAATTACAATCTGAAATGATAATTGTAAGGTAAACTAAAATATTTGGTTTTCCCTTAAGATGACAAGACATAGCAGTAGCTGCCTGACCTTTAAACTGTCACAACCACTTGCTATTATAGTCCTTATGTGACACAAGTTAGGTCACTTCAACATAAGGGGCAGGTTCTTCTTCAAAAAGATTAACACTTCAGCCTTCTCAGCCGTCAGCCTGCTCCTCCTTTCATCAATAATAATGGAGGCTGTGCTGAAGAGCCTTTCGCTCTCTACACTTGTTGAAGGTGCACAGAGAAATGTAGTTGGCTCACCTATGTAGGTCTGCACTTCAATAATATCATAATATAATTTTGTCCTCACGAAAACTCTCAAAAACAAGATTTCCCAACTCATACACAACTAGAAGTTGTCATGAGTTCATTCCACAAAACCAAATTCCAAGTCTGGACGCAGCTCTCAAAGAGAGTGACTGGAGTGAAACTCTCGAGTGAAAATATAGAAAATGGTTGTGATATATTTGGTTTAAAACTAAGAAAAAATAAAAGGAATCTACTGCCTTGGATAGATGGAGAATGCAGAAAACTAATGAAAGACAGAAATATGTTGCTTAAAAATCATTAAAATCAGGTATCACCACAGACAGACAGAGATTTACCTCAATTAGAAATAAAGTAATAAGCACAATGCGGAGGGCGAAGACAAATTTCTTCATGACCATTATTGAAGATGCAAAAGGAAATAACAAAGTTAC